AATTAGAAAAGCTTAAGCTCATTGGACAATTCAATTAAGCTTAAAATGACTTTATTAAGGTGATTTTGCTGGGAAAATTTTTAGTGTCGGCTCAAAAGCTGTTTAATTCTTTCTCCCAAAAAAGAAACTGTTTACTAGGAACATTTCATAATTCGTTATCAGTCTAGTTAACATCTTTATCCATTTCTTTCAGGCAATTTGCTATATCCTTATTCGGCCCTTGTCTAAGAACATACACAGGCGAATCAATCGGTTAGTGGCAGAATTATTGTGGCTGGAACTTGTATGGCTTATCGATTGGTGGGCAGGAGTGAAGGTGTTAACAAAAGCCCTTTACTACCAATTTCAGTCATTCGTTCAAAGACTTCCAATTAAATTAACTAAATTAGCTAAATGATTATGATTCAGCGCATAATTCTTGTTACTTAAGGTGGCATTTTTTAGATACAGTGGCTATGTTGTAAAAATCTTTTTCTACTAGATGAGCATCTTTCTTCGTTGAATGAGTGCATGCCTAAAATCTTGCCTGCTTAATTGATGAATGCATATTTACTAACACCATGAACAGCTGTTGTGACTTCTATGGCCTTGAAGGATTATCTGTATGTTTGTGATACGAGAAACCATAATGTTGCTTAAACTAAATGAGTTAGTAGCATTCTCCATATATGTCTACAATTTACCTTTCCTTTTCTTTTTTCCTGCTTCACAGCGACCTGCGTTTAAGGGTGCATCTCAGAGTGCACTACAAAATTTCAGTTGCTTTTGGTAGCACCTTATATTACTTGTTATAATCCAATTAGGTATTTGTGAAATGCGACACTCAAATTAATGAATTTTACCCGTATTAGTGCATTGCATGTGTAACACGTGACTGCACGTGATTTACTGATGTATGCAAAACTGTAAAATGTTACCTTATTTTATTTTTCTTTCTCTTTTTATTTAGTTTCAAATTTTTAAATTTGATTTTGGTTGGAAATGGAAAATAAGATTAATTTTGTTAGGATAAAAATTAGAAATAGTTCCAGGGGTACTTCTGGCATATAACATGGATCTTGTGACGGGTTCAATATATGCAACGTGTTTATACAATTATAGAAATGACGTTTGTGAATCCGAGTTTCCTGTTAAATTATCGCGGAATATTGGTAAGGTGCTACTACATGTGATTGAAACATGTAAGGTCCTATTTGACAACTAAACTTGCAGGATGCTTTGTGATCAACTCCCTAT